GTAAAAATAGAAATACCTAAACGCGACCCATATGAAAATACTATTGACTATGACAACAATGGGAACCCGACAGGTACTCACATTCGTGTTCGTAAAAATAGAAGAAAGTATACAAGAGAATATTATGAAGTTTTAGGCAAACATGGCAAAATGTACAGACTGCAAGCAGAAGATAAAACTACTATTGTCAGACCTCGTTTCAAACTTGTCAAAGTTCAAGGTGGTATACTTTCAAAGACAGTTCCTAACAAATATAAGACAACTCCTGACGAATATGCTAAAGAAGTTGAAAATGACGACTAAGCAATTCTATACCATGCGTAAACTGTCATGTAAGGTGGCATGTATTCTTTACTTTGTCCCGTTGTTTGCGTATATCCTGAAACGAAATGTGTATGGTTTCCTTCTCCCTGAGTGTCATCCCAGTAACAATTTATAGCAAACTTAACGTCGTCTTTAACATCATATCCTTTACCTTTTGTCATTCCTGACCAATCCCAATATCTATGCTTATGCCAACCTGCTTGAGATGTACTTAAATCTATGTAGTGACTGTGTGCAGGTAAATTTTCACCTGAAATCGTTTTACTTCCACCTGTTTCCTTTGAAGAGTTTGCACAATACAAAAACCTGTCGACTATTTGTTCCCATGCACCAACACCAAACATTACTTGAGGACCTCTTGCTTCCATAGATGTATAAATAGAACCTACTGGGTTCATTAAATCAAACATATGAGATATTATAGGATTGTCTCTTTTGAACTTAAAATATAGTGCAACTATTTCAGGTTTCTTCTGGTTTGTGTCAGAATATTTTTTATAATATAATCTTATGTTTTCAGGGTAGGTAAAGTCTTGACTATAATATTTATTTCTGTCATCTTCATAATAGTATACTATTCTCGTTTTTTCTATTGCATTATATCTTTTATATCTATAAAAATCTAAATATAATGTTAGCTTTTGTTCATCTACATGTGGTGTTCTGACGTCATCTCCATAGTCATAATAATATGGTGCTGGAGCTGGTCAGGCAATGTCATATCTGTCATTTCATAAACTCTTAAATATTTCTTTTGTTCGTCTCCATATAAGTTTAAGTAGCAGTTGTTGTCTAATGGAACTTTAACTTGTGTACCATCGTTCTTTTTATAGCTTACATACATTTCATTGTTATTTTTCGGAATGAGTTTATACCGTATACCATTTCTTAAGGACTGTACAAACTCCCATCTAAAATATTTGTTTTCTTCATTGACAGAAAAGTCACCAACAATAGTTTCAATATTTTTTGTTCCAACTAAACTTTGGTATATTTCATTGACATATGTTTTATCTGCTTTCTTTTCAAGGCTAACGTTTAAGTCTGTTATTTCAGAAGATGTATGTGTATGTCCAACGGCACTTTTCCTGTTTAAGGTTTCTTGTAAGTCTGTTATTTCAGATATAGAATGTGTATGAGTCTTTTTAGAATATTCGTTTTCAGCTCTTGTCACTTCACTTGACATTTTATTGTCAACATATGTTTTGTCTGCTAGTTCAGGATGAGTATGTTCTTTTGTTGCATAAGCATTGTTAGCTCTTTCTTCTTCTTTTGCTATTGCATCGTCTACATATTCTTTGTCAGCTTTGTTGTCAACATCTGTTTTCAAAAGAAGTTCATTTATAGGTTTCTCGTTTAAAGTTCCTTTTGTTGGATTTATACAGACAGTATGGTTCTTATTGTCTTGAAACAGAAACTCATCTGTCATTGGGTTTAATGTCAGTTTTAAGTTTCCTTCTTTCAATGACTCAGATATCTTAGAATAGTTTGAAAAGTTTGTTGTGTTCTTATTTAGAGCTTGCATAATGAGTTGTCGGTTGTGTTGTATTTCTCTCATAGACGCTGTTTCATTTGACATTTTTATTCTAGATAAAATATGCTTCCAATAGAAAAAGAAAATTCAAGAGTTGCTACAACTAAACCATTAGATGAACTTTTTACTAATGTCGGTCAAAAGTTTGAGACAGAGACCGTAAAGCATGAAGGCTATCGTTTTGACTACCCATTAAGATGGCTAAGAGACCCATCTGTCACAAAAGCTATTGGCTTTCGTAGAATGAAGTTTGTGTCTGTAGAAGATAAAAGTTTTCCATTTATTGTAAGGTTTCATATAGATTATATATCTGAAGGGAAACGAAAAATGTGGGAAGAAATTGAGCTAATACAAGTTGACCTTTCATCTTCTCTACAGACTGCGTTAAAAATATAGAAGATAAAATAAATTCATGTTATGCAAAATATGCTGATGAATATGCAAATACCGAGAGCACACTTTATGTGAGAATTGTATATGACAAACAAAATTCACAAGTGTCATTTCAAATCTACGAAGACAATCCAAAGAAAGACGAACAAATATATACAGAATTCACTGCAATGTCATGGTATTATTTGCAAAGAATGTTAAATCAGAAAGTCGAACTTCCTTTAGCAAATATTTACAGTCGATATGCAAGAGATGAACCATATTTATTTAAAGATGTTTTCGACCCAGCTGCTATTATTGTTCATGCTTCATTTTCTGGCGCCCAAAACTCTTTCTTATGCTTGGCAAATGACTTTTACGAAAAACCTACAAAGTTATACGAACCACCAAGTGGAAGTATTTCAGACTTTCAAGTATGGTTTACTACAGATGGAAGAAAAAGAATAATTCCATTATACCATGCGTTTTACTTAGAACTTAGTTTCATATACAACTACTATCGAACGGTAAAAATATAATTTTTTAATACGGCTGAGGTGTTGGATTTGGTTGCCAACTAGACTGTGGTGCAGGTTCAGGTTGTTGTATAACAGGAGCTTGTTCTTCTGGTTCAGGGTCTTTAGGTATAATACCAACAAACTGACCTACTCTTTTACCAATATTTTTGACTCCGTTCCAAATTCCTCTTCCTACGGTTTTTATTCCATTCCATATACCTCTTCCAACATTTCGAAAGAAGTTTCCTATCTTACTGAAGAAACCCATTTTACTATATGTAAAAATCTAATGTCCCGCCTAGTCTCTTACGTTTCCTGTTGAGTTCCATAGCATTCTTTAACTGGAGCTCATACATTCTGTTTCTCCTCTGGTAGAAAACATATTCTGGTCAACTCCTGTGTTCGCGTCATCTGCATAAAGTTGTTTATATCCCACTTCAGGGTTTGTATAAAACTCTTTCCATCTCATATTTGCATACCATGGTGGCAAACCTAACGCAGCGTCATTTGACATGGCAGTTTGCATTTGTACATCTGTTGGCACTTGACCATAGTTTGCCATTGCAGTTTGTATTCTAACTTCATTTGGAATATTTCTCTGGGTTTGGTTGTCCAGGTTGCTGTGCATTCGCTAAGTTCTGTGCGTCCATTTAATATTAGATAAAAATATCTCTTACGAGTACATATACTGAACATTTGCAGGCATTGGTTCATCTTCATATTCTCTGTACTTTTCTGCCACGTCAAATAAATAAATGACACAATGGAAAAAACCTAAAACAAGTAGTCCTATTTCAAACCACATTTACTTACTAATAAAATTTCTTTGTTATGACACTTTCTCCGGTTTATAGGACCTCTCTCATATTCTATCTTGTCATATCTAAACTCATAGTCATGTATGTCCTCTAACCATCTCATAACGGTTTCCAAACCACTTTTATCGGATGTAAAGTAAAAGCATGGATGGTTATGTAAAACGTCTAAAGTTTCTAAAGAGTCTCTCAAAGTCCAGTCTACTTGGTATTGAAAATCCCATGTGTTATAGAACGGCGGGTCCACTATAAAGAAAACATTTTCCTTGTCTTTATATTTTTCATACAACTCTGTCCAATGACATCTCACAAACTCTATACCCTCAATATATTTTTCTATGTCCTCTTTGAAAACATTTGTATAGTTAAGATATAAAACTTTTGACATAAGTGTTTCAATGTCATGAACTCTTATAGAACCACTATATAATAGTCTAGCAGATATACTATCCCAGTCTATATATTCTGCTTTTTTCAAAACCTCTCTCACAATATTTTTCTTATCTAATGGTATACGTTCCATCTTACCTATAGGTATCTTTTCTTTTAACGCTTTCAATATATTGTTTGTGTCTGGTATATGTTTGAGACGGTCCATATAGTTGTCGAAGTCATTGCATATAATCTTTGAGTCAGGAAATATTGTATGGCACAAATGGGATATATAGAAACTTCCACCGAACAAATCTACAAATGTTAGACCATTCGGTAGTTTCTTAAGTTCTCTCAATATAATATCTTTACATTTACTCTTATTTCCAAAGAACGGTAACGGTGGTTTTGTAAAATTCATTTATATATATATAAAAATGTTTTTTCCCTGAAAAGTGACAGAAAAGTGACAAAACATGAAAACATATATAATTTGTGAAAAGCGACACATTATATAATGTTTTCGACCCAGAAGAAGGCTTCTTCCCAGAAGCAATGGAGGAAGAAGAAGAGTCCTCTGAATAAAAACTTCATTTATACTAAACATCAACATCAGGGCTAGAAGGCACGAAGTGCCTGGAAGCCCCACTACCTTTTTTTTTTTTTTTTTTTTGAAACAGCGTTATCTATCAGTCATACATTATAATACATGAGTATTGCATAATGAATTGAATTGAGTTCAATAGTTTTCAATTTTGAAAGATAAATTGACTGAATTTAATTTTTTATGGCAAATTAGATCCACGCTTGTTATTCAGTAGATCATTAAAACGAGCGAATTCATTAAAATATCTATTTTTTCAATGAATTCAAATTGAATTTGCAAAATCAAAAACTGAAATAACGCAAATCTACTCAGTTCATGGTCCTTGATAACATTTATATGGAGAATTCACATGAGCAGTTGAGAAAATGAAGTCATCACTTGAAAATCATAAAAACTCTGTCAACAAATTGAGCAGGATTGAGAACTGACATCATTTCTCGAAATGTTCGTACGGCAACATGTTCACAGGTGAAGAGTACCAGACACGCCTTGGCATCTGGCTCTCCAACAAGCGCCTTGTCCAGGAGCACAATCGTGCTAACCTCGGCTTCACAGTAGCTCTTAACAAGCTCGCCCACCTTACACCAGCCGAATACAGATCCCTCCTTGGCTTCCGCATGTCCAAGAAGCAATTCAAGGCTACAGCTTCTAACGCCGTCGCTGCCGACTCTTGCGACTGGCGCCAGCAGGGAAAGGTCAACCCAGTCAAGAACCAGGGCCAATGCGGCTCATGCTGGGCTTTCTCCACAGTCCAGGCTCAGGAATCACAGTATGCCATCGCTCACGGCCAACTCCAGTCCCTTTCTGAGCAGAACCTTGTTGACTGCGTTACAGAATGCTATGGCTGCAATGGTGGTCTCATGACAGCTGCTTACGACTATGTTATCAGAAACCAGAAGGGCAAGTTCATGTTAGAAGATGACTATCCATACACAGCTCGTGATGGCTCCTGCAAGTTCGATTCAAAGAAGGGAACATCAAATGTTGCTTCCTATGTTACAGTTAATGAAGGTGATGAAAAGGATCTCGCTAAGAAGGTTTCAACATTAGGCCCGGCTGCTATCGCTATCGATGCTTCTGCTTGGTCATTCCAGCTTTACTCCTCTGGCATTTATGATGAATCCGCTTGCTCCTCTGTCAACCTCGACCACGGTGTTGGCTGCGTTGGCTACGGCACACAAGGCTCAAAGAACTACTGGATTGTCCGCAACTCATGGGGCGAATCTTGGGGTGAGAAGGGCTACATCCGCATGATCAAGGACAAGAACAACCAGTGCGGTGAAGCTACAATGGCTTGCATCCCACAGTCTAAGTAAGAAAATTACTTTAATAAATAATAACAAATTTAGTTATTCATTTTTCTTCTTTTTATAATAATATTTGATGTAATCCTCTTGAAATCTAAATTGATTGAGCCATATATATCTATGCCTAGTAAATCATCTATAAACACTATCTCATCACATAAACAAGAACAAATTCTGAGAATAACAATGAGAAATCAACTACAATCTAGATTAGTAAACAACAATACATTATTTATTCAACAAATTGTTTGATTGAATTCATTTGTATCCGGATTGGTTGTAAATAGTACTAGAAATGAATCATATCAATTTTAATTCGTCTAAAAACAATAATTATATATTATCTTGAGTTATTAAGGAAAGATTTTGAATGGAAAGATGTAAATTCTGTAGAAGAAGCATTATTAGTATAAGTTATATTCAAAATTATGTTGATGATGAACATATCGATACATTATTATAGATTTCATTTCATTTTTTTTCATTGAATGAATCAAGAAAATGAAAGTCAAAATCAACCTCATCAATCAATTTTTACTAGCTATTTTACATTCTTACCAGATAGAAGGGAAACACCAAATTCAACTGTTGATCAATCAGAAGATATTCAACAATTATTACAAATTATAAAACAAATTAAAAGACCAACAAATACTAATAATACCCCAGCCCAACCAGAAAAGCCTACTATTGAAACAAATAAAACGCAGGAAAATTCATCAATTCCACTTCCAAGATTTCCTCCTGTCGCAACAACGATAAATCAACCACAACATAAAGAAGTTATTGATTTAACTATTGATTTACAAGATGATAGTGAACCAAATAGCTCTGATAAAGCATTTTCAGGTTCAAAATCTGAAACCTCTACTAAAGACATAAAAGATTTGGATCATAAAGATGATAAATCAAATAAACCAAGCACCTCTTCAAAATCACCAGATACAAATTCATTAATGAATTCCGCGAAAAAAGATCAGAAAGATTCGAAAAAAGACAAAAAGGAGAAAAGAGGAATAGATTTAGAGCAGGAAGATGAAAAGTTCAACAAGCTTGTTGAGTCTAAATTGCAAGTTTCTAGCGATGAAGCAAAATATAAAATCCTTGGAGCAAGAAAAATCAACAACGAGTTGAATTTCGCAGTTATTCATCCAGATGGAAATATTTATTGGTTTACTAATGATGAAATGAAAGTTTATCATTTGGGCTTACTATTTCAGTTCTACGAGAACAATTTGGTAATTAACTGAACTTAAACAAGCAACAAAATGAAATTGCTCGTTCGAAAGCTCATGAAAAACCATTTATTAGGCAAATTATTTTCATTTTCATAATTACTTTTATTTTATTGACCAGCTTACGCTTCTTTATTTACAATCATATTATTTCTTTATATTTGTTTGGTAGAATTTATATAAAAATTATTTTTTTCATAAAAAGAGTTAATTGACTTTCTATGACATTTTCAAAAAGGCAGAGATGAGAGAAATCTCATATGCAAGAGGTATAAAAGAAGCGACGTTTTATTAATTTTTAATCTATGCAAAATAAAGTTTTACTCAGCCTTCTTGTCAAGAACGATGACTTCGAGGGACTCTGGGATTGAGTTCTGGACAAGTTCAACAAACTTTGGCTTGACTGTAAGTGTGTAGAGATACTTTGTTGTGCGGAGTTTGAACTTTGTGTTGTCGTCAGCAGCCTTTTTGACCTTGACCCACTTGGCATCAGAGCGAGCGGCGAGGGCAAGAAATTCCTTTGGTGTGGTGACTTGCTTTGGCATTAAGGTAAAGACCGACCAAATCCACTTTACGAAACCGTTATCAAAAAACAAATTTCCATTTTGGTAAGATGAATCGATACTACGCTTAGAATGGATAATATTTCCCGCTGGAAATTCTCAAAATAATCTAAAATTTTAATCATAATGAAATTATGGCAGAAGAGGAGGGCTTTGTAAGACCTGTTAAACCTCCTCAGCCAAAATTTGAAAATCAAAATATGTCTATTTCCAATCCGAGAAAGAAATACCTTACTAGATCAAGCGAGAATTTTTTTTCTCCAAAAAAAGAAGAAGTTCTTTCATCATCCTCAGAAGAAGATGAAGATATGGACTTCAAATTTGAGTTAAATGAGCTTGAAAAGAAATATAACGTTTATCCTTCGAGTGATGAAGATAACGAAAATGAAGAAGAGGAAGTAGACAGACTTTTACAATTAAGAAGAGAATATACTAGATTAGTATCAGAATTAAAGGAGCAAAAACAGAAAATTTCAGCACAAAACCAAACAAAATTAAATGCTGACGTAAAATATATGCGAGAAATGATATTCTTTATGAATAAATCCATTGACCACCAAATATCACAGACAAATTTGAATAAAGGCATCCTAAATCAAATGAAACAACCGAATGATTACTCAATCAAGCTTAATGAAATATCTAAACAATCAGTAAAGATATTTTCTCTTGCTTATGAACAAATAGATCTACTCCGAGGGATAATAGAAAGATCTTCTAATAAATCTTTTGTTGAAAACGTCAACATTGTTTTATCAGAGAAAGAAGACGAATTACAAAAGCTACAAGAACAGAAAGAAGAACTTGCAGCAGAATTAGCAGATTTGAAGGAAAAATTCACAGCTCAATCTGAATTTATTCAAAAACAGAAATTTAAACGTGAAACATCGAAGTTTGAGGAGCAACTTATGAAAGATTATCGCGAAAATCTACAAAATATAAGAGATTTCTCCAATTTAGCACTTACAGAGATTGTTACTCCTCCATCATTTGCAAAACGATCTGCTCCCACCACTAGAAAATCAACAGCCAAACCAATAATCAGTTTCCCAAAGGTTGGGCAACAAAATAAAATCCGGAACGTTTCTCTCCCTCCTTTCACCAAATTGCAAGGATTTGGAGCCAATATGGACGACCCAGATAGCTATTCAGACGAATAATCATGTTAATTGTTTTTAATCAAACTAAACTTTTGTTTATTTTTTCGAAAATTTCATAATTAGTTTTTTCTTGACTGATATCCTAAAATTATAAAGCGCTTCGTTTAAATAAATTTACTGTAGTTATATTTTCTTTATCCGAAAAGATATCGTTTGATAATTTGAAAAATTTGAAATCATTTTTTTTGAGTTTCTGACCAATATGGAAGCGCAATGCAATATGGGGACAATCAAACAATATTCCAAGAATATAAAGTCTGAAAAGCAATGGAAAACAAAAATGTTATATATCTTCATGAATTTAATCAAGCGATTCATAAGAATGTAATCATGGAATAAGTAAAATTCGATGTGGTATTATTAAAGTGTTAATTTGAAGGTCAGATTTTTTTTGTTGGAAAATAATTTTTTTGCGATTAAATTTATTTTAAATGTTTACATTTTAATGTACCGAGAAGTCATGGAATAATTTAAATCTTAACACCACCCTTCTGGCCTTCGGCTGGAACAGAAACTGTGCCCATTGGGATGGCATCAAGCTGTATTTCAGCATCAGCTTCATTTTCAGCTTCGAGAGCAGCAAGAAGATCATCAGCGCCAGCCTGGGCCTCAAGGTCATCTTCACCTGTTAATAATTGGTTAGCAGCAGCCATCTTTGTCTTAAGGCCATCCATCTTTGTACGCTGAGCAGAAACCTTCTGAACATCAACTGCAGCAACGTTCTTTTCAAGTCCGGATGTAGCCATTTGCATATTTTTAGACATCTGAGCTGCAACGGCACCTGCACGTAAATCTGTAGCGTAGCCATTTGTTGTAGCAGCAGAGTGGAGAAGCTGCTGAGCCTGGACTTCATAGCGGGTAGCGTTTTGTGCGTAAAGTTGAGCTGCTGGGCGATTTCCTTTCTTTAAAGCGGCTTTAGCCTTAGCCTTTTCCTTAGCTGCTTCCTTCATCATTCTCTTAGCTTCGTTCTCAAGCTGCTTTGATTGCATCTTGAGTTGGAAAGAGTTTTTGTCCATCATCTTGAAAAATGAATATTTCACTTTTTCATTTTATCGTTGACAAAAATTTCTTTCCGGTGAAAATTCAAAGAAATTTTTTTCACTTCGACTTTTATAGTAAAAATTTTTCAATGATAATTCTGGCTACTTCGGTATTGGCTATTCAAAAGGTTCAGGGGCCTGCATTGAGATTTGTTCAACTGAAAAATAAAATTGATGAATCTAGTGATCTCTTCTTGATATTATTGGCTGCGCCGTTCTTATATATTGAGCTGCAGTCTGTTTTATGATAATCATAATCATATGCATCTACGACCTCTGTACATGATCGCCAACAACGAAACCTTCAAGACAGCATCAAAGCGTATACTTCATGTATTAGTAACACAAAATAGTTATCCATTAGTTTTGCATCCTTTATTTAATGCTTTATCATAAATTTTGATATTGATAAAATTAACTTGAGTAATTTATCTGACATTTCTATTTGTATGTGTTTTAATCAAGATAAGTTTGGAAATGAGATGTATAATTTTATTAGATACTATGATTAATTTATCAACGTTTTAATTTTGATTTACTTTAGATGTTTAATGAGATATATAAAACAATCTGATGGTTTTAAAGCCATATCATTAATAATCAATGTCAAAACATTGATATTTAGTGCTCTTGAATTAAAAACGTGTATAACCGTCAATGCCGAAGCGTTTTGCTTTCGTGAACTACGGCAATTCAAGGGAAGGCTCTGCTATTGCTGATGCACTCAAGGAAGAAGGTTATTTTGTGTATGCAACATATCAGCCAGATCCTAAAAAACTTGATCATCTGAAACCTGCTCCGTTATCAGTTGATCAGTTTATCGATTCAGATAAAGAAACAATATTAGCAACAATTAAACAATGCCATGCAGTAATTTATACAATATTAGACACTCCAAAACTTGCAAACGAAATATTTACAGAACTTGCACAAGATATTGGCGTTAAAAAGACAATTGTGATCATATCTCCAATATTTACATGGGGTGGTGAACCTCGTGCACAAGATTGGAAGAAGAGATGGCCACATCCAAAATATGCAGATTTTCTTTCAGCAGAACGTTATTTAACAACACTTCCACTGAAATTATACGTCATGTGTACAGGTCTTCTCTATGGTGATGGCGAAGGAGCTCTTTTGCCTCTCTTCCAATCAGCATGGAGCCTAAATCCAGTTCCTATCTTAGAAGAGAACCATAATGTCATCCCAACACTTCATGTTAAAGACATGGCGCACAGTGCAGTCGCAGTTCTTTCATCAAAACCAGAGAATCCAGTTTTTATTGCACATGATGGCTCCCATACAACACAGCACGACTTAATCAAAGCTATTAACACTACATTCGGTGCAGGCCGCACAACAAAAACTACAGATGACCAGTTTATCTCGAAATACGGTCGAGAAGTTATCGATTGGGTTAAATTCGATATCGAACTCGAAGCAGAAGAATACGCCGGCCTTGATTTCGAGCGTCACTGCTCAAATCCGGTAGAAGAAATGCAAACACTCGTTGATGAATTTGTTACACACAGGTTATTGAAGCCATTACGTATATTTGCTATTGATTTAGATACAGCATTGATCGACGAGATCGTCAAATACTACGGCGTTGTCAATGCAACAGACGAAAAGCTTAAAGAACTTTTTAATAATGATAAAAGCGAAGAAGCCGTTGCATTACGCGAAAGTGGTAACGAAGAAGAGGAAGCACCAACACTCGAGATCCACAAGCACGTATTCGCAAATGCACCGTCTCTCCGAAATCTTGGATATATTATTACGAAAGTTCCAGATAATGAAGAATCACGTGAATCATTGTTCATGGAAGAGGACGAAGTATCTGCTTTCATTCCGAAATACATCTTGACATCACACGAATTCGGCCCTCTTGAACGCTGGTTCATTTCTCGAGGAAGTCACTGCTGCAAAGTCTCCAACATGGAGGAAGTCAAGAAATTCCTTGGTTTGCCGAGGAACTTCACTCGCGAAATCCGAATCCTTGAAGCGAGACGAGAATTGGAAGCGATCCAAAGTGCAGAAGCAGATGCACAAAGGAAAGAAGCGAAGAGACAAGCGGAAAAGGAGGAAGAACATCGTCAGGAACTACAACGAAGAGATGAAGAACTTCTTGCTGAATGTGAGAAAGAACTTAAATCTATGCAAGAAATTCGATCTATGGATGCTAAATCATATTTGATGCAGAAGTTAGTTCCAATCTTCATTCCACCACTTGCACAGATCTCAGAAGCTCGTCCAGATGATCCTCTTCGTTTCTTGGCCAGCCATTTCGAGGCAGAGGCAAATAAACTCAAAGAATAAATTGATTATATTTTATATTTGTTCAAAAACTGACTAAAATTGATTTTATTATAGTTAGAATTGAATTTAGAATATTCTAAACAAATATTCTAATATACACCAGAATGTATAGACTTGATTCGAGTTGTGAGTCATGACTTCAAAGTTCACAATTAATAACTTATCTTCGGACTGTGTGAAAATATGATATCAGGTCCCAACTTCTAGATTTTAAATGTCTTAATATGAGGCCTACAAAAAATTTGAGTACTTTCTGTTGTAAAAACTTTGAAAGGCCATTTTTTTAGTGCGTCCAATATATACTTTCTGACAAATAGAGCCTCAGAAAGAACTCACACGGTGTTTTTTTGTCGACATTAAGGGTGCACACGAGAGGATCATGTAAACTTCAGAATTTAGAACCTTATTTTTAGGCATTATCTTGGCTACCTATTTAGGCTCGAAAAGCAAAAAATATCAAAAAATACAACTTGACTCCATTCTGACCCTTTCATGGAGGTAGTTTTTATCCGCTAGTATTTTCCCTTTGAATCTCTTTACAATTCGAAATCAAATTCAAAACTCAGTAGAAGAAAGGAAGAATCGACTTACTACGGTTGTAATACGAATAAATACATATATTTAATTATTTTTATTTACATAATAATTTTTGAAGCTCATATTCCATCAAATTTTTAAATAAAAACATTAAAATGTTGAAAATGTTCATATTTTAATAGGGTTTTGGCACTTTATTGAGGAATTACTACATACATAGTTGAACTGAACTTGATATTTTGAAATTTAAATTATTTATCAAAATTAAAATTTAACTTGAAATTTATAATTATTTAGTCATATTTTGCATAATTCTAAGTAGTAGATTTTATAAAAAATCAAGAAAGAAAAATTTTAACGTGCTTTATTTTTTCTTTTTTATAATAATACATATTATTATATAATTAACATATTCATAATGTTTCACCCTTTCAAAAATATAATCCTCCTCCTCTCAAATAAACGTACATACGGGTGGCCTCTTTTTTCAAAAAATTAAAATTTGAAATTTTGGGCTCAAATATTAGAGATTTTTTCAACCTTCAACGATATATGTTGTCTATATCAGACCTCCTTTCTTTTTGATACTTAACATTGTTCCTAAATCTTAGCCGTTAAGGCTGTTCTGAAAATATTTTTTTTCGAAAAAATTCGAAAAAAATTCTTAAAATTCAAAAATCCCTTAATTCCTGAGGATTTTGGAAAAAAGTTTTTACATGAACATTTGTATATTATATGAAGTATATTGATAAGGTAAAAATCAAATTTTATTGCATATTCATCGAGAAAATAAACTAACGAATCCCTCAAAATTGAGAGGGTAATCCTCCTCCTCTCAAATAAACGTACATACGGGTGCACCCTTAAAACATAAAGATAAGTTTTTGAGACTTTTATATTAGTAATTTTATTTTAGAACAGATAGATTTACTGCTCCAACAAATGGTGTTTTATAAACTTTATTAACAATATTTTTGATGTTTTTCAGTTTTAATTTTTCTTCTTTATATTTTTATATGAATCATCTTTATTTTCTTCTGCTTTTGTAGCAAAACAATATGTTGAATAATGAGATATAAATGAATCTAATGGTTCAATTGAATCAAATGTATCTGCATTATTACTTATAGTTTGATTGACAACATTATTATTAAAGTAACAATTATCAATAGTTGGTTTTTTATTAAATAAATAATTTCCTTTATTTCCTATGAATGAACAACTTGAATATTTACTTGAAGAAGAACAAAAAATTATTGCATTATCACTTCCTGTATATTCATTGTTTAAATAATTACATTTTGTAAAATTAAAATTACCAGAATTTCTAATTCCAGCATATTTTGTAGATGATGTATTTGATGCTGTTGTGAAATTAATAATTCCTGTTCCTTTTGGATAAGCAATTACATATGCAGCATATTGATTAATTTCATGATAAGATGTATTCATGTTACTTACTTTGATATCTCCAAAAAAATGATAAAAAGAAGCAAAGTATCCACTGCATTGTGAAACTGAACTTTCAAATGCATAATTTTTGCTGTTACTACCAAGGTATGGATTAATGCTATATCCACATCCGCCTGAATGACTTGAATCAACTGATGAAAGTAATATACAAATATGAACTAAAATGCAGTCAGAATACTTGATATAGAATGATCCACCACTTTCTGTGGAGCTGTTATTGTAAAATGCGCATGTTTCGAGTAATACTTTGCTGCTGGAATTAAGATAAATTGCTGTTTTTCGATAATGGAAAGAAAATATTGCATTATGAATGTAATAATCGCCATTCCCTGATATAGTTTCGTTCTTACTTTTATTATTGGATTCCTTTGTACCGTAATATTCTGAAAAACTTTGTTGAATCTGCATAAATTGCTGCTGTTTGGCTTATTTTGTTCAATACGCATTTCTGAGTGCTGATTCATGTGAATGATGCTGAAATTATCGTTAAATATGATTGAAATGGGTCCGGGAAATGAATTTAATTTCCCATAGGATTTTAATTATTTTTGACTATGAAGAATGTACAATATATCATAACGAAAAGAATTTTCAAAATTTTATAATTGCACAAGATAAAATGGTGTTACCCCCTTAATTTATTTTTTTTGTTTGGATGTCCAAATTACACGATTGGACACCAGACGAAGATGACTATTTAACACAGGGAAATGCAATATGTCCAGGTGACTTTCGAAAAATGGTAACTTTGTTTCATTTCAAACCAAATCACACTCCTCAAGATTTACAAGATCACTGGAGGGATATGATTGAAAATCCACTCTCTGATGATCAAGATATCATAGGCAAATTAAAATCATCACAGAACAAGTTTAAAGGCAACGTTTATCATTATTCAGAAGAATATGAATACGATTTTCCAAATTCAAAAGAAATAGAAGAAATTTTCTCAGCGATTCCTTCTCTAGCAGCGAAAACCCTATCTCCTGAGATGCAAACAAAGAACATTGAGTCACAAAATATCAATTCTTTGTCATTACATTGCTATTTTTCTGCAGAACGCGTTGAAAAGTTAGTCAGTGATGCATTTAATAGAGTTGTAGATGATGAAAACCTCAGAATTACGTTGCATAGGACTTTTAAACGAAATTTAATTGATCGTGGTCGAAAAATAACAGTAGAAAACATATCACGTATCTTAAACGACATTTCTAAGATGGATGATGCAACAGCAGATACAGAATGCCAAATTATTGAACTAGATTTTGAGAATATGTTGATTTCTGTACAGAGAAAACTACAATCTGGCATTACACCTAGAATGTATGATGCAAATATGCAAGAATTAATCGATGCTTTCAATACTTTAAAGGCAATTTCGTCAAAAGTTACTTGGCCAGCGAATTTGAATGCACCTTTAGCAAAACTTCGCGAAAACATCATTGTTAAGACCGCAAAACTTTACGCTTATTTCCTTTTTTCGTATTGTACAGATCCATCAAAGATTCAACGTTATTCAACGTTTATAGAGGCTGCAGCTAGGAATGATCCAAATAACCTACTCGAATCTTACGCTCCTGCTCATCTGAAAGCTCACATCGCTCAATTGAAGCAAGGATTCGCAAACCAACCAAATTTGTAATAGAATATATAGAATATAGAACTAAAATGTCTATTTTATGAATGTTTAACCAATTTTTTTTGATAGTTTTTAAAATTTTTCATTTAATTTGAGTCAATTTTGCATCTAATTCAGATAAAATGAGTTGACATTGATGTAAAAACTCGATTTTTTTTCTGAAGTCTAAGTTAAAAATACTTATTTTATAATATTGCACAGTAGTATATGAGAGCGGGTTGTGTGACTTTTTTTGTAAACGTAAGAATTCATACAATATAGAACGATTTTGTATCATTTTTTTTAACATATGAAGTAAAAAAATGTATGATTCTTACGGTTTTTATTCTTACGTTTTTGAATAAATCAAGATTTAAAAATGATACAAAATTGTAAGACATTTACACTCAACCCAAACATAAACCATTAAAAAATTAACATTGATTAAATCCTGAATGGAATCAATGAAGTCATAATCAAAGACCTCATAAACGAGTAAAAAGAAATTGAAACTAATTTTTATTTAATGATAAAATGTATGGAAAAAGAATAATATCTGATTTTGAACATTATTTGATTGATTTACTAATTGATCCACAAAGCTGTTGTAAAATTAATTTTGAATTTAAAATTAAAGGAACCGTAAATTTTGTATTTATTTATCACTTAAAAGAATATGACCGATATCATAATTTGATATATGAAACTAATATAATATTTGAAGATAACAAACTTACAAGCTTCGAACATGAAAATGATATAATATTCGAAGATGAAAAAAAGAAAGAGATTGAAAAGCAATTCAATGAATGCCTTTTAAATACATATGCGCACATTATAAGACATAAAATGAAATTAATTCCTTATTAATCAAAAATATTTTTAATCTTTTATTTTATAATAAATGAGTATAACAACTAATTCATTGAAATCTTTAAAGTTTACTAATTCAGAATTAGAAAATATTTTAGAAAATTTTGGAGACGGTTCTTATCCAACATATATGCAGAATGTGAAAGAGTTTTCCAGATTGTTAAATGAATTTAAATATAACGGACCAATTACTAAAAAGGCTATAATGAGATATTTATATCCCAAAAAAGTTGAAAAACAGGGAAATATTCCTCTTTATGGTCCAGAGGACCTGGGCTCAGAGAGCCTTGAAACACCTCCTGAATATTTTGAAGAAAAAATTAAACAAGATGAATATTATAACGATGAGATTGAGAAATTGGAACAATTAAGAAATGAAATAGATGAAAGAATTAAGGAATTGAGAAATGCTGAAAATGAAGTAGAGGATTTAATGAATATCCCAGCTTCAGAATCAGAAGTTCAAAAATCACATGAGGAAAGATATAAAAATTACTTTTTGGAATCAACACAAAATTTATTAGATGGTGATATTGACGAAACACTTTCAGAAGAAGGCACAAAATTTATTCATAAACATAAGTTACAATTTATTGACGATGGAGATTATCCATGTATATTACTTTCACCTCCTCTTGATTCTGAAAAATTCAAAAAAGCACTGAAAAATGTAACATATGCAACAAATACGATTAAGAAAGAAGACCATGATATTTACACAAATTATTATTTAAATAAATGTACAGGTGTTGATAAAGTTTTTGATTTGTTAGATAAAATATCAAAAGAAACAATTGGAACATATAAAATTTTGTGTGATTGTGGTTTCATTATTGAAGATACCAATAATGTTTCATATGAAAGAACAGCACCGAAGGAGACGAAGTGGAAAGTCTATACCATTCGTTATTAAGAACATAAAAGATATGAAAACTTATAAACATTATATTTATTCATTTATTTCAGAAAAAATGGAAGCAACCATAAAACATCTCTCATCATTTATAGCTATTCATACATTCCTTTTCAAAGTTGTGAAATTAAATAAGACAGGAATTAGATTTAATGTATCAGGGTACGCATTCTTGAGTAAATTAAAATGTATTCGTCACGTCGCAGATGATAAAAATTTATGTGTTCTTAATTCATTTTATGGACTTTAGCCCTGGACTCTCTGAGTCTCGGACTTTAAAAAAATAAACTTTATTTTTATTTTTTAATTTTTATTCTTACATAAATGAACAAAAACGGAACAGCTAAAATGAATGATAATCAAATAGAGCGAAGGTAGAAGGTTATTTAAACGCTTCTATAACATTCCTGATGGTGTTAATCCTAAAACTCGTAGAAGTTATTTAAATGAAGCCATAGATGCATATGAAGGATTTGACATTTCATCAGAAAGTGAGAGGTTAGCAAGAATGTTAAACGTTAATATTGATTTTTATTATTGTGACCCTCAACCAGAAGACGTAGACATTAACAAGGTAGACTTTCCATTAGTGGAATCAATAATGATAGATCCAGAATTTGAAACAGTAAATATTTTATTAACACAGAGTCCATGTGGAAAACTTCACGCTGACAGAATAACAGACGTTGAAGCACTCACAGGCTATAAAGTTTGCCCCTTTTGCAAAGAAGAAGTATATTCTATCCGTGATGATCCAGAAAGGAAAAACCAAAGAAGATTTTTAAAGCATTGTGAGAAATGTAAAGAAAATAATGGAAGATTAATTCAAGACGTTCAATTGCAAAACACACAACAACCATATGCACCACATATCACGAAACAGAAGATATATCAGTGGTTATTAGCTCATAATTTGCAGGAATATTATAAACCAACAAGATATTATATTACTTTTGACTTCGAAACATTAGAGACTAAAGAAGAACTTCTACTTTCTGAATGTGCAACTTTGAACGCTTACTTAAAACCATTTATGGTATCATCAATGGTTAAATTAAACGATAAAACATATACGAGGAATTTTTGCTTAACATCAAGTGATTCGTTCATCTCTGATTGGATTGAATTTTTATTTTCAACCTGTTCATTAGTTGCTAAATCAAATATTGAACAATATGAAGAATTAATGAAGTCCCATACATTAAATGAGAAACAAAAGGAAGCATTTAAAGAACTTCTAGATGAGGAATTCAATAAAGTGAATATCATAGGTTTTAATTCGGGAAAGTTTGATTTAAATTTAATTCTTCGTGATTTAAATACTGCAAAATGGAAGATAAAATCAATGCTGGGTTCATCTTCACAATTTAAGCAAATCATTGTAAAGAAAACAAACGTTCCATATGAATTGAGATTTATTGACATCAGAAATTATATAGCGGGTGGGACATTAGACCAATTCACTCAAGATTTCGGAAACAATAAAACACGTGTTAAATCCTTTTTCCCTTATCAATTCATCACGTGGGAGAATTACGAAGAAGAATTATATAAAAAGGAACCATTCACTCAAGATTCATTTTATTCAGCATTAACACAAGAAACAATATCCGATTCAGATTATCAAATATATCTCAATGATGCTAAAAATTTTGAGAATAGATTAGAATATTTTATTCATTATTGCAATAAAGACGTTGAAATTATGATTGACCCAATTGATAAAATTATTGAAGAAACATTTGTTTATAAAATTGACATGCTCCATAATCTTTCATTATCATCTAATGCATCAATGATTCGTTACGCGTTAGCATATAAGAACTTCAATCCTAATGAAACATATCCAGAAGAAGAAAATGTGGAATCAAGTTTTGAATTAACGAAAAAGTATTGGAAATATAAAATTGAATCATATAAGAAACAAGATGAAAAAGCAGAAAGGGATACTAAAAATAATGTTTCAATGGATGATCTTCAATACTATCACGATTTAATCCTTTCATCTAAATGCAAAATGTGTGGTAAAGCGTTTACATATGCAAATAAACCAACATTGGATAGAATCGATAATGAAAAACCACATACTAAAGAAAATTGTCAGTTAATGTGTTGTTATTGCAATGTCGTAAAATCAAATAAAGATGAAGATGTTCAACGTTTAAGAATCAATTTAAGAAATTATGCATTAAAAAATAATTTACCAATGACTTTAGATTCAGTGGAAGCGTATCACATCCTCCGTAATGGAATTACTGGTGGTTTATCAAATGTTCAACATAGAGTAAATCTTAAAGGAATCACACACATTAATAAACTTTCATATAGTCCAGAAACTAAAACTGTATCAAATGAGGACACCACCAACATTATGACTCATTTCGTTGGTGTTGACTTTAATTCATTATATCCTTCATCATTTTCATCTAATCCTCATGATTTCATTCAATATACTGACCATAAAATGTATATGCCGGGAAGATTGAATGGTGTTATCATTTGTGATACAGCAACAAAGAAAGCAAAAGCACTGGGAATTATTAAGAAGAAAAATACTTTATTCGTGGCTGAAGTAAAGGGTCACATTGATGAAAAGTATATTAATGATTACATTAACTTTTTACCGATAATAAGAAACTTAGATATTATCACAGATGAAAAAACAATTGGCGGTTTTATGTATAATTACATGAAATCAAACAATCTACCAGTTGACCAGAAACAAAGGAAATTAACTCAGTTAGCATCAACACACAACCAATATCAACCATTTTCTTCTTATTATCTATGGTATCTAATAGACAGATTTCATTTTATCATTGATGACATTCAATCAATTTTAACATTTACGAAAAACACTTGTTTTAATGAATTTGCGAACGAATTTATGAACGAAAGACAAAAGGCTGAATTAGAAGGAAATAAAGGAAAAAGTTTATTTTGCAAGATTTCGCTTAATGGATCATATGGTTACGATGCAATGAATACACAAAATTACGCAAAGACTAAAATAATGAATGCACAGAAGGCACGCGTTGCATGTATGTCAAATAAGTTTAAAAACATAAGAGAAATAGGTGAGGATACGTATCAACTGATGCTCAAAGATAGATTTTATAGATGTGAAACATGTTTACAAGAGGCATTCTTCACTTTAGATAACGCAAAATACTGGTATTTGGTTTTCATTTATGATTTTATGTATAAATGCTTGGATGTTAATCGTTTTCATTTCATT